TGTGCTGCGAGTCTGCCGATTCCTGGGGACTGGGAGAGAGGATTTTTCGCGGGCCAAGGTACCGAGTACTTGCAGCGACGTATCCAAACGGTGTTTGGGAACCGGCCGCACTGTTGCTTTGGTAAGCCGTCTTATCTTTGCACCTTTGGAAGGACCGAAGAACCTTAGTATGGAGGAGCCTCTCAAGGTTACCTTACACTTAAGGTAGGTAGGTACTTGCCATACCTGAGATCCTCAAGGTATGTACCTTAGTACATCTTCTAGGTACCCTTGGGGATGTTGAAATGTGATTCCCGTTTCTCATTCACCCATTTTCAACATGGAAATTAAACAATCAACCTTTGCGGTTCTCATGAAATAGTAGCACAAGCAAAAGTCAAGGATCATCCAAAGACAACTCTCAGGGTGAACCACAGTCTGAACAAACCGCAGCACAGTGTGCCGAGGGCCGAATGGCCAACGCCCCGAATCCCACTCCAAAATGTCCGGTGCACGCGACTACCCAGGAATGGCCGGCCTGTCGGGCGCACCGCTGCACTCCAAGTCCATTTGGCAGGGGGGGGTTTTCTCAAGGGCACGATTCAATCTGCGGTGATTTTTTTTTCTCTGGTTCCCTCCTCAGTGGGTTGCGCTACGCCATTTACTGCTGCAAGCATGTGAAGCCATCTCCGGCCGTCCCGCCGGTTCCATGTCCTTCTCAGGCGTGGCTCCTCTTCTCTGCGCGCCCCGGGTGGGTTCGACCGGTGGATGCACTTCATCCCGTCTCTCCGCTGCCGAGCTGCCTCATGTAGGCAGCCTGTACTCGGTACGTGCACAAAGTGACAAGAGACATGCGACTGTGTGCTTCTTCCTTGATTTTTCCAGACCACTCAACTGCGAAAACGGGCTGAAAGTTTTGGGCGGGATGTCAAGGCGAGTGGCTGAGGACGGTTGGGGGTCAATCGGAATGATATCACACTGTCTTTGTCCGTGGGCGGTCGGACAGAGACATGGCGCCAAGGAGGCCTCGAATGCTGTCACTGCCCCACGTGAGCACACCCACCCAGCCCGTCTACCTAAGGTAGGTAGCCGATAAGATAAGATAATCTACATGTCATATCGATAAAGATAACGATAACGAAAAAAGTTTCTGGAAATCAAGCCCCTCCAGCTCGGACGGCCTCATTGAAGTCGCATGCGGCGCAAATCCTCGGTGTGCCTGACATCCTTTTGATATTTGTCCCAGACCAATTGAACCATGGCGCCCGAAGAGAAGAAGAAGGACCCTAGGGCCTGGAGAGGCCTCACGCCTCCCTTGGCTGAGTACGATCCCCTCACATTCTGCCTCTGCTTGCGCATCCAACTAACATTCGCCCAGATGGATCCTCGACTTCGTGTCCAGCCAAGGCTTCCAGCGCATGACGCCCGTACAAGCAGCATGTCTGCCGCAATTCCTTGGAAACAAGGATGTTGTAGTAGAGGTAAAGACGACACCATTGATTTCAGCAGAAGCGAATACTGACTATCCCAGGCTGTCACCGGCAGTGGTAAAACGCTAGCCTTCCTCCTCCCGATCGTCCAAAAGATCATGCGCCTCTCCGAACCGACGAAGCGCGGCCATGTCTTCTCCATCATCGTTTCCCCAACCCGCGAACTCGCCATTCAGATTCATACCGTCCTCCAGTCCCTCGCCGGCTTCCATCCCCCGTCCGCCGAGATCCTGCCCCATCTCAAAGAAGACGAAAAGCGCCCCGACACGACGGTGCCGGTCATCGTCCCTCAGCTGCTCGTCGGCGGAGTGACCACCACACAGCAAGACCTCAGCTACTTCGTCAGGCATGCGCCCAACATCTTGGTCTCGACGCCGGGTAGACTTGTTGAGCTTCTCGCGTCCCCGCATGTCCACTGCACATCTTCCACCTTTGAAATGCTGGTTCTCGACGAGGCGGACCGTCTGCTGGATATGGGTTTCAAGCAGGACATTCAGAGGATTCTGGGATACTTGCCGAAGCAGAGGAGAACAGGCTTGTTCAGTGCTTCGGTTTCGGAGGCAGTTTCACAGATTATCACCGTAGGTCTGAGAAACCCGGTCAAGATTGCCGTGCGCGTGAAGAGCTTAAGGGATGGAGGAATCATTGAAGATCGGAAAACGCCAATCAGTCTGCAAATGTCCTACCTCGTCACGCCAGCAAGCCAGAAGCTTCCGGCATTGAGCAAGATCCTCGAGAAACTCAACCCACGGCCACAGCGCAGCATCGTCTTCTTGTCGTCTTGCGCTGCCGTCGACTATTTCCAGCACGTTCTGCCCACCATCATGCCGGAAGGCTTCACACTCGTGCCCCTGCACGGAAAGCTCCCTCCCAAGGCAAGAGAAAAGAGCTTCAACAAGTTTGTCAACTCGGTATCACCATCCGTGTTGCTGTGCACAGATATTGCAGCAAGAGGTCTCGACATCCCGCAGGTAGACTTTGTCTGCCAGGTTGATCCTCCTTCAGATCCCAAGGTTTTCATCCACAGAAGTGGACGTGCCGGAAGAGCTGGCAGAAAGGGCCTCTCGGTTGTTTTCCTGCAGCCCGGCCACGAGGAGGACTACATTCCCTTCCTCGAAGTCCGCAAAACACCCATCTTCCCCCTGACGAAACCCGAGATCACTATCACCGAAGAGGAAGCAAACGAGGTGTCAGGAAAGTTCCGCGACGTCCTCCGTAGCGACCGCGCCTACCACGACAAGGCGCAAAGGGCTTTCGTGAGCTGGGTACGCAGCTACAACGCTCACCTGACAACCTCCATCTTCCGCGTCAAGGACCTCGACTGGGCCGACCTCGGAAAGGCATGGGGTCTGCTGCGCTTGCCGCGCATGCCTGAGACGAAGAATTGGGAGGGAGACAAGTGGCTCGGCAACGAGGACTTTGACTGGGAGAACTTCACGTACAAGGACAAGACGAGGGAGGCAGCGAGATTAGCAGCGGCGGAAGCAGAGCGCAACGGCGAGAAGGCGGCTGCCGCGGATGAGGTGAAGCGCAAGCGCAAGACCAACGAGGCGTGGAGCAAGCAGACGGAGAGGGACGACGTGCGGGTGGAGCGTCGCGACAAGAGGAGACGTAAGAGGGAGGCCGAGCGGATGTCGACCATGACGGAGGAGGAGAAGATCAAGGCGATGGAGCTGAATGAGATGATTGCGGAGATTAGGAAAAAGAACCAGGCCAAGGCGGCGGCTGGCGGGAAGGACGATGAGTTTGAGGGGTTCGATGATTAAGAAGCGCCTGTTGTAATACTATCTATCCATGTCGTTGAATTCCTGTCCGGGGGATTTCCGGCTCGCGGCTTAAAGGGTGGAGGAAGTGGAGGCGACACCCCCCCGCAAACGCTTTTTTGGCCTCACACGATGCAATATCACGAGACCCTCTCTCCCGTCCGCCCCATCCCGCCTCCGTCCTCGTCGCCAACCATTTCGGCTTTGGGTTTCACGTTTCCACAGCGGAGACGAGGCCAAATAGAATTCACTCAAGAATGACTCACTCTCCACACTGGCCCTTCTTGAACGGAAACAGTGAGGATACCGTCATCAACAAGCACTAATACAAGCACAATAGCTCAGGGGTAGAGCGCTGGGCTCATAACCCAGAGGTCCCTGGATCGAAACCAGGTTGTGCTATCACAAGTTTTGCTTCTTCGAGGTCTTGAACTCCTTCTGTTCCAGGTACATGTACATATTTCTCTTTTGCCACTATCGTCTATCTTCGGCGCGGTCTATCGAACCGCCGCTTGTATATGGTTCACATGCAATAGTACAACGGCGAACGAACGTGGGCCGCGCCTTTCACATCTGGACCTTACGGAGGAGATGTTCCACGTCTCTAAAGGAATATTGCACCTTGCTTCCCATAATTCAAGCATGATGGCCTCCCAAGTGGTATGTGGTATAGGTTCCAGTCGGCCAGCTCTGTTGAGAGGGAGGCACGTCACTGGGAGACCTGTTCATTTCCGTTTCGAAGGCAATTATCGTCCGAGATCTCCAGATGGAGCCAGGTGCTGGCCATTGAGGTTGCTCGTAATGAGGAGAATGATTTGGAGTGGTCGTTTGTCGTCGGTGTAACGGGATTATAGCTGGTTCGTCTCATATTAGCATGAATCTAGTCAGGGCATTGGGTTCCTGCTGTCCTTACCCTGCCTCGGCTTTTGTCCCTTGCGAATGCAATTTTTCCAGAGGATAAAACATGTAGGTGGTAGCCCTACAAACAGGGCTACAATACCAACAATGGCTTCGAGGGTCATCTGCATAGCTTAAATGGTGGTAAAAAAGTTCTGGTCTCAGAATGTGCGGATCAAGGTAACAGAAAAGCTTGTGCCAGATCAATGGCTGGGTACGAAATGTATAGAGGTAGAATAGTCTCAGACAGTATGTGAAGGACGTCGTTGAGCTCTCCCTACGGCGTCTTCTTATGTTCGAAATCATGGGTCATGATATCTTCGTTCCTTGATCTACATTTAAGGTAGAATGCAGCCCTGGCACTTTGACTGAGCTAGACTTTCAGACTCTGGTGCCGACGAATAGAATACCATAGTTCTTTGGAGTTTTGAGACTTTCGTATGTCGTCGGAGAGCTTGTGCATACCAGGCGTATCCAACTACAAGCACCATGTTTTCAGACTTTGGTTTGGGCCAATGAGTTAATCTGAATGATATCCTCTTTAATAGACGTAAGGCTTTCCACTGCCACGATTTATTCCATGTGTAACATGAAGCTGCGGGACCGTGTTCAGACATTGGCTCCAGCCAATTGCTTCAGATTCTTGTTACGGGGGCCACGTCCACGTCGGATGCATATGCACAATGCGGACCGGTTGGTGAACACACACCAATGATGGGCTTTCAGACTTCGGCTCTGGCCAATGACACCCTGTTGAGGCTGCCAGCTTCAAGCGCTTTTCAGATATCGGCTTCCACCAATTATGATGAGACCCCCATGGCGCAGTCATCCCAAGCTGCATGACAAGACTCCGTCTCCCACGCCTTACTTCCCTTCCTTAAATCACCTGCTCCATCCGCGATGAGATTTCCAACAGAACTTACTGACAGTCAAGAGACCAGTATTTGCCGATATCAAATTAAGCAACAAATCTCAGCTTGTTACCATAATGGCATCCTCTCGGAAGCGTCATTCGGACGAAGAGTGGCTCCAGCATCGAGCTACAATCCAGCGCATGTTCCTGGACGAGTCGGCTTCATTCAGCGAGATTATGCGAAAACTCGAAGAAGACGATTTCCCCGTAACGTAAGTCAACACAGTGGTCTCTCCATCTTCAGCTTCTCACATTAATTGCACGTCTTAGGAAATCGCAGCTTGAGTACAAGCTGAAGATGTGGGGTCTCCGTAGGAGAATTCCAAAGAATAAGACCGAAATATTGTGGCAATTCGTCGATGGCCGCCTTTCAAAGCGGGAGAAGCAGGGTAAACTCAGTGAGGTCATCTATGATGGCAAAGTCATTGCGCCAGCCAAGGTCAGAAAGGAGAGACGCCGATATCAGACAACTTCTCTGGTGAAATATCAGCAAGGTAACAATTTGTGCCACTTGCTGCTCATATACCTACTCATTACTTGTACTTGTAGGGCCTGCGAGTCCCCGAACACCTCAAGAGTTCAACATCTCGGTCTGTACACCAGCACCACTTCATGTCCAGTCCTCATGGCCGAAAAGCCTTCCTTGGCTACGATTTCGGGCCGACTTTCCAGAATGTAAGAAGTCACATGAGAAATGTTTTATGGTCATCTCGCTAAGACTTCTCATAATGTTTCAAGCTTTCGAGGCGTGCTTGAAACCTGGGACTGGCACCAGTCTATCGAATATTCAGACAAATTTCCACATGTGGCGAATCCTGGAATTGCAGCAATTGAGTGACAATCCGAACGTCTCTCTCCTTGCCAAACAACTCGATTCGATAATGCCTGAGGCAAAAGAGCGGGAGAATGAGAGTCTCGCACACTCTCTACTCAAAGCCCAGAGTCAAACGACAATACCCGAATACTGTAAACTCCTTATTTATCGGATCTCGAACAATATGGAAGGTTTCTGGAATGATTTCCAGCTTACCCAATTGTCTTGGATTCTGGATGTGCTCAATAATTCCAACATGATGAATTGGAAACTGACGAGTGGGAAGACATCATGTCCAACAATTAACGCATTTGTCGAGAAAGTTTTCCAGAATACACTCGCGACAATGTATCGCATTTACAACGATTTTGAATACAGTTCCGAACTGGCAAAAGCCAAGAAGGTCATATCGTGGCTGTTGTCCTTGGGCCAATCTCCAAATACGCCAATCCGGGAGAGCGACGGAACATACACACCACTGGAGCTGGCAGTGAATATGGGTGACTCGGAACTCGCTCTTGAGATACTTGATGCTGGTGCCGACCCAAAAATCCCGTACTTTGGACTTAGAGACGTTCTAAGCGACTTCGAGCATTTTTTCTTACTCGACGACAAAGATAACCTCGACCCTAAGATGATTGAAGTTTTCAAGCGCCTTGTAGCTTCCGGTCTTTCCCTGAACGAGGAAAAGGACGACGTTGGGCCTTCCGCTTTGATGGAAGTCGTGAGTCATGGTACTGTGTGTCTGGTTGACATACTTATTCAACGTGGGGCCAATGTTCTGTACACTTCACCTGATGCCACTGGTTTCTTCAGGAAAGTCAGCGTACTCGGTTTCGCAGCCACCATCAACGAAGAGAAAAAGGCACTGGTAATCATTGACTATCTACTCAAGCGTGCGCAGTCAGCATACCCGCACGTGCCGCTGGCAGACTTCATCGAGATTGATGTGGTCCTAAATGCTGCGTCAAATGGTCACCTTGCGGTTCTCTATTTTCTCTACAAAATTGGCTACAATGTGGTTGTTGCTGAGAGCAAAGGAATTACTGCACTGCATATGGCAGCAGCTTCTGGGATTCACAGTGTCTGCAGATGGCTTCTCAATCATGGCTCATTGGTCGACGGGCCAGACCTATTGAACGAGTGTCCGTCTCCTATGATTGTTGCAGCATCCCGTGGCCACGTGGATATCGTCAAGCTGCTACATCGACATGGGGCTGATCTCAACAGGACCTTCGATGTCAATTGCAACTCTCGGAAGTGCGGGCACTCGCAATTTGGTCTTTTCTATAGGTATCTTGAGTATTTGGGAGATTTTTCTATAAACCCTGCAGGGGCTGCGATCCTAAGAGACGACTGGAATAACGCAGAATATAGATACCTTGCTCAAAATGGGGCCAGATTGCCCGAATGGGCTGCATATTACGGCGCACTCAGCGACAGCACTTTAGACCTTATCAAGGTTGTGTTGAAAGACAAGGCCAACGTCAACTGGCTCAGTTGTGACAACAAGACAACGCTGCATGCCGTGCTATCATTATCTTACAAGAGTCATTTTATGCGCGGGCATACAGACGACTACAAACCCAGACGTGTGTCTTTGGCATTCGAACTCTTGAGCGCTGGTGCTATTCTGATGGGGGGCGAGGTCCAATTGGCGATGCTACTAGGCGACTGGAGCCTTGTCGAAGAAATTCTTCGAATTGGATCTCATGACATCTTCCAGTGGAAAGGCGCCATGTCACCACTGGAAATGGCATTTCTCTCAGGATCTGAAAATATGGTGCAGTACGTGTTCAAGAGCAATCCAGAAGCATACAGTGGCGGCGCCCTTTGTGCCGCTATTATCTTCGCACTAGAGCACAACAGCACGACATGGCTTCAGAGACTTCTAAAAAATCGTCATCAATCTGAAAGTATGTCGAATTTGGAGAGAACGGCCGTATATCTTGCTACTTGGAGCGCCGAAAAGCACGTGCTGAGAGTTGTTTGCGGTGAATTCAAAGCAGAACTTGGAGCCCTTTTCCCCCTGACGAGAAATGACAACTCATCATACTACCGCACTTCGATAGACAAATATTTGAGTATGTGGAAGAGCAGAGAGCGAGAACTGCCTTTTTGGCACGACGATCACTGTTTGGTCACTCAACCGCTCTCGGTCATACTTCAGTCATCAAGATGGGAGTCAGAACTTCAGGCAATCGGACACTGTGGTCAAACTGATGCAATAACTCTCTCCATCAATCTCAAAAGCGAGGATATTCTTCAACTTCGACTTTCCGCAAAACAACATGATTCGTTGAAATCTTTGCGTATTGCCATGCGGGAGGGGAATTTGGAAGTAGTGAAGGCTCTTCTGGATGCAGGGATAGACGTCAACAGTTCAATTTATGTAGGCGAATGGTTTGGGAAAAGCTTCCTGCAGCAAGCTGTAGAAAGCCAAAACCTCAGCATGATCGATTTGCTCCTCAGAGCAGGCGCCGAGATCAACGCACCAGCAGCGAGGAAATGCGGTGCAACAGCTCTACAGCTAGCAGCCATCAAAGGAAGGGTCGGGACTGCAAAGATGTTAATCGAAAGGGGGGCCGACGTCAACGCACCACGTGCAGAAAAGGGCGGTGGAACCGCTTTAGAAGGTGCGGCCGAACATGGGAGGTTAGATATGGTTCAGCTACTCTTGAGTGAGGGAGCTGACACGGGCGGGAGAGGCCGTTTACAATACATGCGGGCAATCAGATTTGCGGAGCAGGAAGGGCATGTGGTTGCGTCGAACATGCTGAGAGACTATCGGGACTGGACGACTGCTGACGATGACCTGTGGATGAAGTTGAAAGGCTTTCCGAGAAATTGGGAAGAAAAGCTGGAAGACTTTTTCTTCGGTTATGGTGAACAATTGGAAGTTGAGGATAGACTAAAGGCATCGGGAACATTATAGGGGTGGTTCGAGCCTGGAAGACGCTATAACAAGGGATCCGGAAACAGAGTCTACGGATGGGATAGACGGGCAGTGTTACTGGCGAAGAGTGGTCAGTCACGATCCATCCTCTGGAGTGGACTACAAGGCTCGAGACTTGGTTTTGGTGCGTTGGTGTCAAGTGTAAAATAGTCCTTTGATTTGATGTGCTTCTTATTGATTAGGATTTAATTGGAATTCATTGAAGAGCAGCATCTTAACACTCACTCGTAATCTAAGGAAACAGCATCTCCACAGGGGCCTGCCTGAAGACAATCAAGAGCTTTTCGGTGCCTTTTTCGTGCTGAACACACTTACTTAAGTCACTACCATAAAGAAGCCCATCCGTACTGTTAGCCTCCAGTCCTGGCTGACCTCGCCAAACTTCCAAGAATGGTGACGAGCCTAACATCTATCATCATAAGTGTTGTTACTGCAGTCGTTGGAAGATCACTTCCTTCCTGACGGATTACGATAAGTGCGAGACAGCATGTAACTACGAGTTTAAAAGAACCGGAACCTCCATGGAAGGCCAGCTCGAGAAGGACTGAGGACCAAGCCTCACCTCATGAACGTCCCAAAACGATAACGCAAATTTAGGATAGGAGAGATGTTACAGTCGAGACCAACTATCGGTCGCTGAAGAGATGCATCCTAGCTGTGAGCGATCCAGGCATATCAACGAAGCTGTTTAATAGCCATTGGACACGACAAGTTGACGACAACATTCTGAAGAACAGCCGCCTCGAGACCGGAGCACACATCCCGACGATCAACTACACGACAGGAACACGCACTTCACAAGAGGAAACCAACCAGACGATCTCGACAACTCACACACATGTCAACCACCGCGACGTCAAAACCCAACGCACCTCAAAAGTCTAGACCTCACTCAACCACCTCACGGACAACATCCCGCTCCCCATCGGAGGCTCCCGCCAATACTTCGGCAGTTAAACCCCACAACCTTCCCCCCCAAAACAGTAATTCTGCACATCACGCATCCATAAACTAAGGCAAGGTGATCAATACTCGCTCTAACTATCCAGGTAGAACCAAAACCTTTGACTGGCCTAACCTGCATCTCCTCGCCGATCACATCTCAATCCAGACCAGATGCAGTCTGCAACTTACCTCTACATAGTAGTGACTCCGCCTTGGGGAAGCTGTCTCTCTGGCCTTCCCAATCGGGATCTGCAGAAGAGCTGTGTAATACCTGTGACGTTTAAACTTGCTCAGACGACGCAGCGAATGACAAAAGAGAGGAAGGAAACAGCTCCGCAGTGGGATGATGGAGTATGTTTCCTCCTTTGCTACACTACTGTATCGGTTCTGTCCAACGTGACTCTGAGACAATGGCGGTGAAGCTGCAAGACAGAAAGACAACGGGGCTGCCCGCGAGGCGCGCCTAATACCTCTTCGCAATAGACTCAACCTTAATTCCACTCGTGCAGTTTGCAGAAGCGCGCCCCTCTTATTTTTTTCACCCTCTTTAAAAACTCCTCTTTCTCTGGCACGTCTCCATCCAGCAATCCATCTTGTCTCTTTTCGAAAAGACTTGCATGTAATCCAGGACAAAAGTAAGGTAAGTAATTATAGTGCTTAGTGGGGCCTCTGGCGGGTTCCAGGTCACCGTCGAACACGCCTGCAATATCTACTTTGCATATGTGATGCCGGTAAATACCTGCAATGAGCAGGCGGTTGAGACAAGTCAAGGCGGACGGACGGTGGGAACAGAGAGGGCCGCTGTCAAAGCGGGAGGGAAAGCGGGTGGATTGAGACTGGTGACCTCCCGCCATCACATCACATCGCTTGCGGCCTGGTCTCTCGCGTATTACGAAGGAGACTCGCCAGGCTGTAGATGCCCATGGCCTTAATAGGACGATCTGCCGAACATAACTTCAAAGCGCATCCACTCCAGTCTCTCGCATCACCAGTCGCCCGCTATTTGACCGTTATTCTTGTTTTGAGTTCATGGAGGCGGGTCTATAGTATAGAACCAGCCAGCTTATTAACTCATGGGCAGCAAGGCAGGGAAAAAAAAGCCGCGGGCCATGGGCATTAGCATATACCCTCAATCAATCCCACGGCGGCAGATTGACGCATCCCCCATGCCTCAGCTCGCGTGGTCGGCTGGGCCTCTATTCACTTCCTTGTCTTGGCAATTCTTGGTGTGCCAGTCCACTGCCACTGCAACCCCAGGACCAGCCAGCCCAGGCAGGGGAGGGGAGGAGAGGGAGAACTGGGCGAACTGCACGCCACTTTTCTGCCCATGGGTTGCAACACTCGCCGTGCTGGTGGATCTCGAACCTCCAAGGTACGATGAGGTCTATCAGCACATGTTCAATAAGATCTTGACAATGCTTAATCGCGTCGTCTGTTTGACAAAGTGACGAGATAACGAAAGACGGTGTGACGGGCGAGGTTGCACCGTCGCATACACCTGCTATTACCCCGCGGCCCGTTGACACTTGGTAAACCCCCCCAGAACCATGGCGAACGAGAGGGCGGGTGTTGCGTCTACTGCAACCACTCAGCGGGATACTCGCGGGGGGCCCTATATGTCCTATATGTCCTTGATATGCCATCGCAAGCAACGTCGCTGAAGCCCAAAGGATACTGGAAGAATATATTGCCGCGCTTGTTGAACCGGACACTGGCCGAGGTACGTCTGTACGGATAACTCGTGTTCGAGAACAACTGAAGTGGTGACAAACGCGGTGAGGATATCGTTTGTGGTCTGGTCGCAGCGTCGCCACGCCGACGCGCCGACACAACGCTGTGCACCTGCGATGGTGCGTGCTGCAATTGTTGATAGCGTTCAGTGGAGCAAAACAATTTCTTTGCTACTACTACGGAGCATGTGTGGCACCGACCTGGAAAAGGTTTTTGGCATTGCTGATGGAGAGAGGCACTGTTCACAGGAAAGACCAGGGGCCAACCCAAGAAGCTGGGTTGGCGGAGTCTCGAGCTCGTCGAGATCCGAAGAGGCTTGACAGGGTCGCCCGGTGCCGGTGGTTAAAGCTGGTCATAGCTGATTTTTGGACAAGCAAGCAATGACAAGCATCGCGCACTCGGTGGCCTCGGAGAGGGTTTGTTACGTTTCCCACCGTGGAGGGCGAGGACCGGATGATTTGCTCTCGGACGATTGCTTGCCGGGAGAATCGAGATGGGGTGACACTCGTTTGCAACGTGCAGATAATCGAACAGGTCCTTGGCCCGATTTCCTAGGGTGAAAGGGGGCCAATATGTGCCAGTTGTATGACTGAAGGGGTTTGCGGCGGCATAGTACGATGATGGTGATGCTAAAAATCCAGAGGGCGGACGGCATGATGGTGTCAGGCCCCCGGAAGAGAGTCATTGGTCAATGCCGAGACCCTGGAGTGGGGGTTCATCCTCGAAGACCAGCCGGTTCTCAAAGTAACAAGGTGGTTGATTATGATGGATTATGCCTTTTCACAGGCCTCCAAGGCATGTCCTGGTGGTGCCCGAACCCTTCATCCTCATCCAGGCCACGCGGGTTGAGAAAGCAAACGCGAGAGAGTGCCGAACTGTCTATGCATTGCTTCCCCATGGCGTGGACAGTGTGGCTTGTGAATGGTGTTAGTCATGATTCTTTCTGGCCTGGCAACGACATCTACGCAGTAGGCATGGCGTTGGAAGCCGCGGAACTCCGGATCTGCAAGCCGGGCACGGCGGCCAGGACACACTTGAGATGTGACGGCCAAGAGATGGTATGAGCGATGGGAGGGTCACTAAGGTTATTAGTGAGGTTATCTGCCTTTCTCCGTTGCAGATCACAGACAGTTTGCCAAATGGTCCATTCTTTTTTTTTCGCAGACATGGCGATGAACTCGTATCTTCATGTCTGAATACTGCCGGATCAGGCCTACCTGGGCCAGATACGCGTGGTGAACTGATTCGGCCGAGCAAAGATGACTGCCGAAAAGACGCAGCCCAAAGATCAGCCGAACTAGAAGTCACTGTTCTCCATCGGTGCTGTATGTAGCCTGTCGATGCTTGACTCGTAAAATCGCAGCTGGAAGACATCCGGACCAGTAACCCGGGAGCCACAGTACCTAAATAGGATCACTAGAAATGCGGGTTCCAACGCTCTGGGCCCGCATGCTGTAGAATACCGGTATGTATCAGTACAGATCCTCACTACTCAGGATCATACAGGCATAGCCGTGTGCGATTGCCTGGACTCCGTTTTTCGAACCCGTGGAGTCGCACTGGCGTAGTGTTTCGTTCCCAAAGTTGGGCGTTGGGCATTGAGATCAGCAGTACAAAGCTGCTCTACCGCGAGTCACTAACAAACGATCTAGCACGGCTTGTCCGAGCCTCCCCTCGAGACCAGAAGCTGGAGGAAGAAGAAGAAGAAGAAGAAGAAGAAGAAGAAGAAGAAGAAGAAGAAGAAGAAAAACAGAGCTGAAGACTGCATTTTACGATCCACCGGAAACCGGGTGTAACATGTTCAGCATGACGGCGTGATCAGCTGACCAGCCGCCTTCTCGTTGGATCGCCTCGTTGGTTTGACTTTTGGTGACTATCTTGGTGTTGTTTGCTTGTTCTCCTCACTCCTGTTGGAGATGAGGGATAGGCCCAATGGGTTTGACACCGGAAAGATACTGTAACACGGCATCCGATCATGCCATTGAGTTCTGATACTTGCTTGCAACGGAACATTTCCTAAATGGAGGTCTATGAGGGGTTGTAGACTACAAGGCCCATCTTGGCCTCGTCCCTGAAGTCGAAAGCGCGCTTGAGAATACGGCCGCTGTCTTTTTCGTCCTCGTTTTCTCGTTGTTGTTGCTAGGGCACAAGCCTCTGGTGCCGCGAGCGGCGCCGTTAGCTCCCTTCAATTTGCACGTCTAGACTGAGCCACGAAACGGCTTATGGAGACTGCTAAAATAAGCCATGGAAGACGCATCGGGGCCGACAAGTTTGAAGCCTGTCCGCTGGGTAGGTAGTCCCGATGAGTACACTGTCGGTCGTCAGGTAGGTGTTGATGGCGGACGTATCCGTATGCTTTCCAGCATCGAGTGGCGTGCTGCCTTCGCCCCTTTGGTGCCTTGCGGCGGGCGTTTGCGAAAAGTCAACTTTATCTCCCATGTCTCATCCTACTGGCTCGATGCTCAATCATTGATGGCGTTTCGCAGCTGTCTTCTTTACTTGATCTGGGCCAGACCCAAGCCTCTATCGGCCAGGA